GTGGACAAATTCAAAAAGAAATCACTGGATGTATGCCGGTGAAGATTCTCAGTCATCCAGGACATGATCAATTCAAAAAGCGTTCAATACAAAAACAACTGGACTTTTTGTAACAGAAGACGTTTCTCTCCTCATCCGAGGATCTTTCTCAATTCAAAGAGCAGAGAGTGAGAGATACAGGTTATAAGGCTGAGTGAGATAAGACACACACACACATGTAGATTGACAAGTCACACCTTAACAGTTCGGGTTTCTTAAAGTCTTTGTTCCTCTAATTCACAGTCGAGGCCCCTCTGTTTCCATCAGGTGTGAAAACCGGCTGGGAATCTGTTTTAAAGTTGCATTATATGTTTTTGAAAGTGGAAATCTGAGGCCTCCTCCTCTGTTAAGAGACGACTTATCTCTTTTTACATAAATTGCTTCCTTCACCCCCCTCTCAAACCATCTGTGTTCTCGGTCCAAAATGTGCACATTTTGGTCCTCAAAAGAGTGTCCCTTATCTGTGAGGTGGAGGTGAACAGCTGAGTCTTGTCCAGAGGAGGTGGCTCTCCTGTGTGGAGTCATGCGTCTGTGAAGAGGCTGTTTAGTTTCTCCAATGTAGAGGTCTGGACAGTCCTCGCTGCACTGGACCACAGACACTACACCACTCTGTTTGTGTATGGGTGTTCTGTCTTTAGGGTGGACCAGCCTCTGTCTGAGAGTCCTGCTGGGTTTGAAATGTACTGGGATCTTGTGTTTGTTGAAGATCCTTCTGAATTTCTCTGATACTCCAGCAACATAAGGGATGACAATGTTTTTACGTCTGTTGTTCTCCTTTTTCTGTTTATTGGTGTGTTTTGTAGATTTCCTCGCTGACTTGACAAAAGTCCAGTTAGGATATCCACATGTTAGAAGAGCTTTTACAAGAATCTCTTCAAACATGTGGATATCCTAACTGGGCTTTTGTCAAGTCAGAGAGGAAATCTACATGTGTGTGTGTGTCTTATCTCACTCAGCCTTAGAACCTGAATCTCTCACTCTCTGCTCTTTGAGTTGAGGAAGCTCCTCGGATGAGGAGAGAAACATCTTCTGTTACAAATAAAGTCCACTGGGTGTATGTCTACAACTGGTTAATGTTTGGAGTCGGTCCAGTTTAGGATGGCTGTCACAGCTGAGCATTTTCCAACACAAACATTTTTATATTTCAGCCAATTTTATAGATGATCTCAAATTGTGTGTGGTAGTAGCTGAGCATTGTATTATTTCCTTAAAACTTTGGCACTATTTGTTGTCAACTTTGTCTGTTTAGATAAATATTTCATGAACTAATGTTCATATTTTAATGTAGTAGTTAGGAAATAAGAATGTACATCTACAAACAATTATCATATAAAGTCAACCCAGTTCAAGATGGCTGCCTCAGCTTATCAAACGTGGCCAACTAAAATAGTTACAACTCTGTTCAAAGTGCAGATGTTGAGCAGAGACAGATGTGGTGGTAGCTGACGCGCACTTTGAGCTTGACAACAAGAAATGTTGGACCTTTGTTTTCAGATTTTGAAGCAGGTAATTTATCAAAACTATCTAAAATTTTCTTTTAACAGACGGATGTTGAGACTTTAAAAACTCAAATGTGTTTTACAAAACCTTAGAGGGAAAGAAAAAGATTTTCTTTGTCTTCATATTTATTATTTATGTTGTCATCGTTTACATGTTCATTGTAAAATAATCATATCTGTACAAACATCAGAGACCTTAGTTTTAGATTTGTGGTCCAGACAGAAGCTACAGTCGGAGAACAACGTCGTGTGAAACGATGTAAGCTCGACTGCTTGGTGGTGCACAAATCTGACGTTACACTTTCAAAAATTGGAGCCAAGCGTTGTTTGAAGGAATGTCACTCGCCACCGGTCATGCATCTTTCAGAGCATCTCATGAAGAGAAGTGAGTTTGTAGATGTTTTGGGCAAACCTTAAAAATAACACGTTTGCTAATGTGGCGTGACTGGCAGACATGCTGGGTGGGGTTACCAAAGGTCAGTCAGTTGTAGGCGTAGATCTGAGGATTCATTTCTGAACGTTGCATTAAATCTTGCCGTAGCTCAGGAGAGTTTGCTCAAATGACAAACATGGTCAAAAACATGATCACTCACTTGTGGCAGCAGGTGAGAGCTGAAATAAAATCCTGTAACGGAGCCCGAAGAGTTGCATTTATTTCTGTCCAGTTCAGGTTGTTTATGTGTTGCCCAGTCCCAGCAGACGTCACGTCAGGCCACTGAACAGAACCCTCGTTAGAAATCACAGGAACGGTCGACTCGGTCACTGGTGCACGTACTGGGCTGCCGTTTAGTTGAAAGTCATTCCCAGCTAAATATCTGAAACTACTGGATTGATTTGAATGAAATTCAGAAATGATTCGTGGGACGTCAGCTGCTACAGCTCGGTGCATGAGACATTCGTTGAGTTAAAACTGGCTGGTAGTAGCTGACCGTCACTGGGGGCAGATATTTGCAGTTCTGCGTCTGATTTGAGTCAAACGTTGGAAATGAAGTTCCACACAAACTGTTACGGCTCCATTTCACATGAGGTTCGAACTCTGGCATGAAGGTCAGTGGGCAACTGGATCCCTGCCAGCTCTTTTTATCACTTTATACTTGTAGGTATGTATTCTGCATTCAGTTTTGCCTTTAGGACTGTTACCCCTCAAACTTTATTTTGTTTCTGTTTGTTGCAGCTTCCGGCACCACGAACATTCTCCCTCATCAGAAATTTGGAGGAGTTGCAGACTGTTTCCAAGCTGTTTGTGACCTTTGCTCTTTTAAACCCTGGTCTTTTCCTGCCATTGTACCAACTGGACTGATGACCCCCCCCCCCACCCCCCCCCTTCCTTCTGTGCTTTTGGTCATTCAAACTGTTGAAACATTCCAGGAATGAAAGGTGACTAAGATCAGCAGTAAGAGAAGATACAGCAGAGGAACTTGAATAAACACGAACCTTCCAAAGGTCTCTGAGTGTTTTTATTGTTCTTAATGGTTTTCATCTTAAACGAGCAGAGTCTGCGTGAGCATCATCACTGAAGGACAGCTTTTACAGAACAAGCCTTGAGCTGCGATCCAACACAAGGCTGCAAAAAAGGTTGCACCTCCTTTCACATTTCTTCTGTCACACCTACATTTTTTAGATCAAACAAAAGTTAATATCGACCTGAGTAAATAAACAAATGCAGTTTTTAATTTCATATATTATCTAAACTAACGGCAGCACGGTGGCGCTACTGGTAGAACTGCTGCCTCGCAGTGAGAAGGTTGCTGGTTCAAATCCCGGTCCAGGGGCCTTTCTGGGTGGAGTTTGCATGTTCTCTCCGTGCACGTGTGGGTTTTCTCCGGGTACTCCAGTTTCCTCCCACAGACCAAAAACATGCATGTTAGGCTGATGGTAACTAAATTGTCTCTAGGTGAGACAGTGAATGGTTGTTTGTCTCTGTGTCCCTGTGATGGACTGGAGACATGTCCAGGTGTCCCTGTGATGGACTGGAGACATGTCCAGGTGTCCCTGTGATGGACTGGAGACATGTCCAGGTGTCCCTCGCACAGTGACTGCTGGAACCGGCGACCCCGTGACCCAAAATGGAAGAAGCGGGTAAAAGATAATGGCTGGATGGATGATTTCATATTTTAACAAGAAAACAATAATTTTTTCCACAGAAAGATTAGTTTGGATAGTTTGGTTTGAGCATGCATCAGGATATTAGTTTGGATAGCTTTGTCCAATAAACTAATCATTTTGTATTTACTCAGGTTATCACTGTTTCATAATAAAATGTGTTGCTGCTGATCTGGAAGACGTGTGAGCAAACAAGACATTTGTAGGAGGACTAACTTTCAAAGTGCTACATATTTTCATGGATGTTCATAAGAACAGACAGACTACAGATTTATTTACACAGTTCTCACATGTCTTTGTTCTCCTGCCTTCTGCTCAGAGAAGACGATCATTTACAAAGAACTTCCTGAGCAGGGTGGCTTTGCAGAATTCTTCCCCGTTTCAAACCAACAACATTAAAAAGGCAGGAAGTAGACAGGAAATGGTTCCCAGTTGATACCTCTGCTCTTCCAAACCACCTGAGCTGGTATTTCACTGGGCTGTGCCTGCTGGAGAACGGTTGTAACTCAAGAAAATATGCAGCATCGCTGAGACTGGAGCGTTTGCAGCCAGCTGGCCACGTGGCTGCAGTTTGAAAGGCACAGCTGTGCACATTCTTTCCCACCTTGGCAGCCACCCCACATTTTAATGTACTGGGGTACACTTTTGAAAGGCATATAGGCCCATATGGACCTGTTTTTTATTTATCTTTATATTATATATAAATGTGTGCGTTTTAGACCTGGACATGTGCCACAAAACAGCTTTAGTACTCTTCAGACAGACGAGACACCTGGGACATCTCTGGGACTGTTTCAGCAGAAAAGTTGATGCACAGATTTTCTAAACCACTTCAAATTTCTAACAATCAGACTACACAGAGTGAGGGGATTAAGAGCCGCTGCAACAGTCACAGCCCAGTGGATACTGGACTAGTGGCAACAGTCACA